GGGGGTTGCACTCTATACCTTGAAAAATGTCCAAATTCTTACTTTACACCTCAAAATATTATTTTTTTTATATTATATCCTAAATGTCATAAATTGGCAGGCTCTCTGGCGTTCATCGCTCTAACCTTATCAAGCTGGCCCTGAGTGCAGGCAATCGTTTGTCGAAATTATATATTTTAATTATGTTATTTAAGGTATACTGTATGGTAATATAGTTCAATGTGGTCCCAGGACTAACATCTATTTTAAATTCTGTTAAAATTTGATATATATGCCTACGTGTGTTGTTCTTAGATAAAAATTTAAACTCGTCATTCATGTTATTAGGTGGCATGCACATTAATTTTTAATAGAATTTGAAACGAATGTTAGTTTGGGGCCACATTGAAATTAATTTATAATAACCAGGGTAAAAAAAAAAAAAAAAAAAAATTTTGTGGGAATCAATATATTTTTCGGGTGCAAAGTGGGAAAATCCCTTTCTTTTGCCCAAACTCTTGCCTCGTTTTCATCCTTCTTGGTACATGGGTTTGTGTAGAACAGAGAGAGAGAGAGAGAGAGAGAGAGAGAGAGAGGTAAAACTAGGAAGAGTTTTGAACTACAGCAGAGACACCTCGAACTTGGGTAGCTAGAAAGTTTCAGAGATGCCTACAATGGCTCAAGGTGGAAGAAGCAACTTCACGCACAGCAATCAACAACATCAAATCAATGGCAAAATATCGAATTACGACAGCAAAGCTAATTTATTTGCCAGGTCCATATTCGTATACACTAAGTTAATTCATATTCATAACTCCTCTCTCTCTCTCTCTCTCTCTCTCCCTCTCCCTCTCTCTCCCTCTCTTTTTCTATATCTATCAGTTGATTTCATAAATTCGCAGGAGGCAAAAGATTCAGCACCAAAGAAAATCTCTACCAATAGCTTCAGGTATTCTTTGACGCTAGCGTTAATTTGTTCTCAATTTGCCTTTTTCTTTGAATGTTTAAGTGGCCCGACTCTAAACCTTCTGTTGCCATTGGATTTTCCAGTCAACTTTGACAAATAAAAAATAATTGGAATTTCTGACCCTTATTTTTATTTATTGTTTGTTCTCTTGTTTTTCTAAATGCAAATTGTATATTTATCAGGTATTTTTTTTTGGCTGATGCAATAGACTTTGAATTATGTAATTAGTTTACTAAATCAAGAAGATGATACTTGTTTTCAAGTATATGTATGTTGGAATAGGTTAGGTCACTATTGGAAATTCTTTCCTGTCAATGTGACAAGTTTGGGGTAACAGAGTTGGCATTGAACTTGGTCTATATTTTATTTAGTGTGAGAAAATTAGTATCTTGCAATAATTATTCATCATTGGGGATATCTGTGCTGATGACATACAACAGTTTTAATAATGAGGAGGTGTGAGTTGTAGGCCTTCATCTAGTCTATTGAGACCTTTTTATTTATTGGAAAGGCAACAATGGTCAGAATGCTAATGTTTTGTCATCAACATTGGCTGGAACTATTCCTAACAGGCATTCGAGATCTTCATGGGGGTAAGTGAAAAGGGTTATCGATAAAGGGTTGTGTCTCATTTGTGGGACTTTATATTTTCTTTATGTGGTGGGTGTTGATATACCCCGAGATCAATAGAGTAAAGGTTAAAAAAACAGAGATTTTAAATTCCTACCTCGTTTGGCTAAGGTATTGAAATAGCCCTTCTATGTTTCTCATGGTGGCTTCTGAAGGTATCCAGTTATGTGATTAATTGAAGAGCTAGAGTTTTATGTTGTATCACACATATACACGCCTTATGGTTGCCATAGTAGTCCATCTTTTGGTTTGTCAGTTGTTATTGGAAGCCTTTCTCTGAGCTGCTTTTCAGAATTTAGTCGATGGCGGCTATGAAACTAAAATAGACTACAAGGACACCATTATTTATATCCAGGAACTTGTGCTTTTATGGAATTTGTTGGCAATTACATTCCATATGTTACTTAATACGAGTGTATCGTTTAATAAAGAATACTTCATTTTCTGTTGATTTGGTTACTTTGTCACATGTTCTTATCCTTTTTGAATTATTGATTTCCCTAGTTGAAAAACGACTTGTGGAGGAGGTCCGAACTAATGACACATTGATAATTGTTGGTGAAACTGGAAGTGGAAAAACGACACGTAAGTTTTGTATTACCAGCAAGTTTTATAATTGATTTTTGGATTTCTCAAATAAGAGAACATTATGGAATGCAATCTACTGTGTGGTTTTCCATTGTAATGCATCATATAAATGGTTAGTTAGTAGTTTCACATGTTAATTATGTTTTATCTGGTGTGTGCCTTTATCTAATACTGTTTAAGTTCAAATGGTTACAATGTGCTTGTCATCGGGATAATCTCTCTCCAGCCCTCTTTCCAATCCAATCTCCAAACCAACACCTGCACATGCATAAATATGGTTTGAAAGTGCCCATTAGGCTTCTACATTGGTAGTTGTATTTGGGGTCATTGACTCACCCAATCATCACATGGTCCATGACAGCATGTTCTGTTTAGGCTTTTTGATGTCAAACTAATTTGATTGCGATTGTTCAGGCCTTTTTAAAGTTGATACATGCTAAATTGTTTTCTTAATTTTGCTGAATATTATCGGAAAAGTCAGTTTGTTGATAAATCCTTGATAAATATGTAAAGCTCAGTTCTAGAATTTCCATCATAGACTTTTTTGTATTTGCACATTTTAGCCTTTTCTGCCCTCTAAACTTGGTTAATATATGGAACATACTCTGCAGAACTACCCCAATATCTATTTAATGGGGGATTTTGCCATGATGGGGGAATTATTGGAATCACTCAGCCTAGACGGGTTGCGGCTGTGACTGTTGCAAAAAGGGTGGCTGAGGAATGTGGCGTTGAGTTGGGCCAGAAAGTTGGGTATTCCATCAGATTTGAGGATGCCACTTCCAGCTCAACAAGGATCAAATACATGACAGATGGATTTCTTTTGAGGTAATAAGCAGGAACTACATTCTTGTATTGTGTTTTTTTTTTTTGTGGGACTGAACTTCTTGTAGCATTTCCAAAGTTGTAACACCAAATTTGTCTAGATTTACCTGCCGGGAAAAAAAATTGTTTAGATTCAAGAGTACCATATCTTGAAGAAAGGATTGAACAATTTTGTATATTGGGGGCTGGTATGTATATTTATAAGAGCGTTTCCTGGATGCATTTAGATGCATAAATGAAGAGAAAGAGAGAAAGGAAGAGATATTGTGATATCGAATTATGTAAGCCTGGATTTGTTGCCCATTTTATGGGCTCAGGCCAATAATGTTATGCTGCCTTTGAACATCTGGGATCTGGGGATCATGGCCATGTACTATGAAATATTCTCTTTTCCTACTGGAGTTAAAGTCTAGCAGTCTTGATCTTATGAAAATCTAGGTGCTACTATAATAGTGATGAATTTTTGTCTTTAATCATAGAAGGAGTTTTTAGTTTACCGTTGAGGAGTTATTTGCCTGTTTATTATCATAATGATGGGTTTTTGGTGTCAATCATAAATGGGGTTGTTAGTTTGCCGCCAAGGAGTTCTCTGCCTGTTTACATTTTGAAATCTTCTCATGGGCCAATAACATTGTTTTTGTTTACTGTATACTGAAGGCTGAATATGCTTACAGGGAAGCATTGTTGGACCCACATCTCTCTAGGTATTCAGTTATTATTGTTGACGAGGCTCATGAGAGAACTGTCCAAACTGATGTATTGCTTGGCTTGCTGAAGAGTGTACAAAAAGCAAGGTCAAGGAGTATCAGTGAACCTCTAAATATTGATCATACAAAAGCTAACAACGGCTCATTGTTGAAGAAAGAAAATGCTGTTCAAGGTGTCAGTATTCTCAAGCAACATCGTGGCAGAAGATTCACTCCATTGAAGTTAGTCATCATGTCTGCAAGTTTGGATGCACGAAGTTTTTCTGAGTACTTTGGTGGTGCAAGAGCTGTTCATGTTCAGGGGCGACAATTTCCAGTGGATATACTCTATACTCGTTCTCCGGAGACAGATTATGTAGATGCTGCCTTAATCACTATATTTCAGGTAGTTATTTGTCCATCTCTTCGTATGCTCCCCACCTAAACAATAGATTAGAAATTCTGGTGCTGATTCTCACCTTTCTCAACTTCATTTGCATAGAAATTTGGGCTAATAAAGGCAATAGTTTCTTGCTTGTGTTATCTTTTGCCTTTTATTATCTTTTCAGTCAATTATTTCTTGTTAGTCATCTATGTTTCCATTTTTCAAATTGTGGTGAATAGCACTTGCTGCTGATATTTTAAATCTGTTGGTCCTTGGCTAACAGTTCTGAATAGGTTTACAGGGAACCCATCTATTCCTTATCCTTGACCTAAATCCAGTTGGCCCTGTAATGTTTAAGTTGCTTATTTAGTTATTCGGCTGTGTCTGGCTTTCCTCATTGGTGTTCATTCTCAGCATTCTTCCTTGGTTCATTTTCCTTGTCTTGTTAGATACATTTGGAGGAGGGTCCTGGTGATATACTTGTATTCCTGACTGGCCAGGAAGAGATTGAATCTGTTGAGAGGCTTGTCCAGGAGCGTCTTCTGCAATTGCCTGAAGTCAATCAGAAGCTTCTAACCTTTCCTATATTCTCATCTCTTCCCTCAGAAAAGCAAATGAAGGTTTTCATGCCTGCTCCGGTTGGGTTTCGCAAGGTAATTTTGTGATTCTACCGGAATTTTTTTTTTATATATACCGCATGTGTGTATATATATATATATAAAATAACATATGATGTTTGAGGTAGTCTACGTTTGGTGTTTCTCATTGTACTGTTATTCTCTATTGAAAAATAAATAACAGAATTTGGTCCAAGTTTGTCTAGTTGACTTTTTTCTACCGTCCTGTTCGCAAATAAATTCTCCTAATTTCCTTCGTTGGAACCAGATGACATAAGTACTGATGTAATCTCACATTGTTGAGGTCTTCTTGATCATGAGAAATGCTGCTTCAGAAAGCAAGAAATGTATTATAAATAGCACCACCAGACACATTAACACATAGTTTTCCGTTGTTCCTGCTTGACAATCGAGTGTATGTGCTTGTTGGTAGAACATTACCTCTGCCTATATCTATATCATATTATCAATCAGAATTTTCTAGTAATTCATGATGCTGTTGACATACGCATGATTGGTGTTTTAAATTTGTAATGTTGGCAACATTAATCCAATGAGGGTGCTAATTTTTTTGGATTTTTTTACTCTTGTCCTTTTGACATGATATTTCAAAGGGGCAAATATACCAATATTTACACGACAGTGTGAGCTTTGTACTATTCTGTTAATGCATTGTTGTGAAATGTTGTGTGATTACAAATGTCTAGCTACTAGTTGAATTTTTTTGTGTAGGTGATATTGGCTACTAATATTGCCGAGACTTCAGTGACTATACCTGGAATCAAGTATGTTATTGATCCTGGTTTGGTTAAAGCACGCACCTATTGTTGTCAGACCGGGATAGAATCATTGATTGTAGTAGCAACATCGAAAGCACAGGCCCTTCAAAGAAGGTAAGCACAATGGATTATTCATAGAGGTGTATCTATATGAAAAATATTAGATAGATTTTTTGGAGTGAAGCTCTTGTTGATGGATGTATGCTGCATCTAAACTACCCATTTCTCCCTATAAAACATTTTGCAACTGTGAATGTCTGTCATGTATATATGTTTCTTGTTGTTTATGGTAATATTTTTGCCTTTGTCTTTAACTCATGTATTCCTTCATAAATGAATCTTAAGGGTGCTTTGAATACAATTTTCAAGGACAGACAATTTTCCAAGAAAAGGATATAATTTCATTGTTACTGGATACATAAGCTTTGTTCAAGTTGTCTAGGGAGGGGGTGTGCAGCCAAGAAGATAAAAATAAATAAAGACAATGCATGTACATATTCATGTTTATACACCTATATTGTTGTTTATTGGTTTTCAAAAAGATAATGTCATTCATCACAGATAAATTGAGTATAAAATCTCATGCCTGCTATGATTGTGACAGTGGGCGTGCAGGGCGTGAAGGACCTGGAAAATGCTTTCGTCTCTATCCAGAGAGTGAGTTCCAAAGACTTAAAGATTCCACAATGCCAGAAATCCAACGATGCAATCTTTCAAATGTTATTTTGCAGCTTAAGGCTCTAGGTGTCGATGATATTGTTGGGTTTGACTTCATGGAAAAACCAGATAGGTAAATGGGCAATATGACTTGTACTATTTTAGCATTCTTCGACTTTTACCTGAGCATTCGTGTGAATTGTTGTTGGTGGTTATGCCAACCTAGCTGAGCCCCAATGCTGAATGTTTGCCTTAGTTAATCGTAGTGTTATTTAAGGCGTAAAGCGAACTGAAGCGACCAAGGCTCCTAACGCCTAGGCGAGAAGCGAGAAGCGAAGCGACACGCTTTACCGAAGCAAAGTGAACAGTTAAAAAAAATATATATTTTAGTTTAATTACTTCTAAACAATCTAAGTTCTAATTTTATATATACTAAATATTTAAATGCAAGTAAAACCATAAACATTTAAATTAAAAAAAACACTAATAATATCTCAAATCTTAATAACAGTCATAACTTAAACATTTAAATTCAAACAAATACTAACAATTGTATACATTTTCATATTGACAGGGTAGGACAACAAAAGAA